AACAGAAGGTCCTGGGAGATGGCTTAAAACCAGGATGCAGGGGAGCCCATGAGGATGGGGCCGCCACTGGGCCTCAGGAATGGACCAGAACCAGGGCTTATCATCTCATCTCAGCAGCTGGTGTGGCGGCCTCATTCTTGTCTCCTCTGCACACTGGGTTTTCCCGTTCCCCGGGATGAAAACTGGGGCAGTGAGAGGCGGGAGCCTGTTCTGGGGCCAGCCCAGCGTGGGTCCAGCGCCTGTACAGGAATCAGTAAAAGGTGACAACCTGCAAGACAGCGCCGGGCAGTTACCAGGTGGCCTGACAGAATGGCTGGAGGCCGGGAGAACCTCATTGGCCACCTGCTGGAATGAGTTTGGGTTTGCAAGGCCAGCCGAGAGAATGCTCTGGATCCTTCCATGGACCAGAGCTGCAACAGAGTGAGCTGCGAGGGTGTGGGCACAGCTCGGGCCTCATGGTAGCAGGTGATGTGGGGTCCCACTCTCCCCCCCCATGGCATTCACCTTCCTCGTGCACTCACCTTGATGGATTCCAACTGCAAGTACCTACAGCTCCTAGGGAGGAGTCTGCAGATAAATCCCCCAGCTCCTGCCTCTGGCAAACAGACCTGCAGAGGGAGACACTGAACTCCCAACGCCCCTCAGGGGGACTGGGCCCCAGGGGCCGGGGCAAGTGACCTATTGGATTATGCACCAGGACTGGCTGCCCTTCCTCTGTCTGGCTCCCCACCACCCCTAAGGATGCTTTCTGGAATGACAGTAGGGCTTTGTCCCCCACAATCCCGGTCTCTGGCTCACGGGCAGGGGACCCAACCCAAGACCCTTGTAGTCCAAACAGCTAGATGAGGAGCCTTTGAGAAATAAGAGCACACGTGTTTCCATTCAGTTCTGCCTTTTTTCTCCAAAAAATAGAACTCTTTATTTACAACAGGATCCCAACAAGCATTAAGACGTTATTTAAATATGATATAAACATAGAAAATTAGAAATAAATACAAAAATCTAAGGATAATATATAAGCTTACAGGTGACCCTTGAACAACACGAGTTTGAAAGGCACGGATTCATTTACACACAGATTTTTTTTTCCTAATAAATACAATCGTGAGTCCGCAAAACACAGGATTTGTTCTTGTATTGTTATTTATTGCATTGCCACAGTAAACCTACTTTTGCCCACCCCTGCAGGCAATCGGCTCTCCGTATCCCTGGGTTTTGCATCCACAGATTCAATCAAACGTGGACGGAAAACAGTATTTTTGATCCATGGTTGGGAATTCACGGACGCGGAGGGCCGACTATATGCATTGTTCCACACCACTCATTATAAAGGGTTAGAACAGGTGTGCATTTTGGTATCCGTGTGTAGGGGGTGTCCTGGAACCAATCCCCCTCGGATTCTGAGGTAAGACTGAAGTTTTGGGGGGCTTCGAAAGTTGTGTGTGGATTTTCAACTGTGCAGGATGGGCCAGCACCCCTCACTCCTTCCAGAGCCAAGGCCAGTGTGGCTCAGTGGTTGAGTGTCAACCTATGAACCAGGAGGTCACTGTTGATTCCTGGTCAGGGAACATGCCAAGTTGCAGGCTCAATCCCCAGTAGGGGGCATGCAGGAGGCAGCTCATCAATGATTCTCTCTCATCACTGATGCTACTCTCTCCCTCCCCCTCCCTTCCTCTCTGAAATCAATAAAAATATATATTTAAAAAAAATGAATTACATGATCAATACATAATTTTTAAAAAGTCAGCTGTGCTCTGAAGAATGCTGCTGCTGCTTGAACCCGCTTTGCCTGCCGGCCCTGAGTGTGGCCGGGACCGTGTGTGTATGTGTGTGTGTGTGTGTGTGTGTGTGTGTGTGTGTGTGTGTGTGAAAGGGTTTTGCAAACAGTGACGTGCTGAGTCCACCGGCCAGGTTACTACACTGTTTACCAGGCTCTTTCCGAATGTCTCCCACAGTATTTAATGGTTTAATGACTAAAAGGAGCTGAAATTTAGATTTAAAAAGCTCAGCTTATCTCTGAAATTAAATTTTGGGGGGGGGGGAAAGCTTAAAAACCAAGGTTTAATAATAGAAAGTGATTCCTACACGAGTGTGATCATAGCTCTTCTGTTTTCAAAACAAAAAAACCCCCACACACTTCATGAAGTTTTCCTTCATGCAGCAGCTCCGCTGGGTTGGAAGAACGTCAGAATTAATCAGAGATTAAACATGGTGGCGGAGTGAGTGGACCGAACTGGAAATGTAACTAAACTACAGGAAAATCGACTGGAGAAAAACCCTGAGAAGCAAGGATGGAAAGCAGAGACAGCACAGAGACTGACAGGAGGGGCGGCGAGGCCAGAGGGCTGCCCGGCGCCCACAGACAGTAGCTGAAGTTCAGGGAGATGTCTCCGCTGTGGGGTTCCCACTGAGAAGGCTGGGTCTAAACCCAGCGCACAGAGCTGAGAACGGGGCCCACAGAACACCTGGCTGTGAAAAGCAGTGGGATCGCCCTAACCCAGTGGTCGGCAAACTGCGGCTTGTGAGCCAGACGCGGCTCTTTGGCCCCTTGAGTGTTCTAACGCCTCTTCTTCAAAATAGACTTGCCCAGGCCAAAAACCGGCTTCTGAGCATGGACCACAAAGTTTCAATCACACTATGTGCGCACCCACATGTGGTATTTTGTGAAAGAGCCACACTCAAGGGGTCAAAGAGCCACATGTGGCTCACTGTCCTAACCAGTTTGGATAGAGCGTCGGCCTGTGGACTGAAAGGTCCCAGGTTCAATTCCCGTCAAGGGCATGTACCTTGGTTGCGGGCACATACCAGCGGATCGATGTTTCTCTCTTATCAATGTTTCTAACTCTCCCTTCCTCTCTGTAAAAAAAAAAAAAAATCAATAAAATATATTAAAAAAAAAAAAAAAAAAAAAGCAGCAGGTTGCTTGGCCAGCAGAGAGGCTGGAAATGCAGGCACCCTCCTGAGACTCCGAGACTAACCATCAGCCTGCAGACAGAGGTGGGTGTCAGAGGCTTTGAGCCTTTGCCTGATCTCCTTCGGGGCCCGGGCTGGAAAGGCAGACCCTGGGGCACATCTCTGCCCTTCCCAAAGGCACCCAGCCAGCAGAGGGAGCCACAGGCTGTGGATTGCTGAGAGCGCCAAACAGGGGACTCGGCGCCAGTCACAAACAGCGTCTGACACTGTCCTGCACCATAGCAGATCTACCCAATACACAGACACAAACCCAACGGGCAGCCAAATGGGGAGACAAAAAATCACCCCCACACCAAATGAAAGAACAAGAGCATTCTCCAGAAGAGCTAAACGAAATGGAGATACCACTTATCCGCTGTAGAGTTTACAATAATGATGGCGAAGATGCTCCACAGCCTGAGAAAAGATATGGTAACTACGAAAAAAGACCAGTGTGAAGTAAAGACTGACAGAGCACTAATAAGGTCCACGCTGGAAGGAACACACAGCAGATTAGTGGGGGTCGGGGATCGGGTCCGTGAATCAGAAAGGACCTCAGTCTTAGTCTGGGCATTTGCCTGGGAGCTGGCCCTGAGTCTGGCCTCGCCCAGTTTACTCTCTCTCCCCCCACAGCCTCCACACTCAGTGAGGTGGACAACTCCCACCCCACAGAAATGCACACACATGTGCACGTGTGCACGTGTGTGTGTGTGTGTGTGTGTGTGTGTGTGTGTGTCCCAGCAGGGAAGGCCTCCTGCCAGTTTCGTGCCCCTCGGAAGCCCTTGCTTGACCTCAGCACTGAGCTGGCACGGCCAGGACAACAGGGGTTGGACCCTCTGGCCACAGACCAAAGAGCTCACCTTAGGGACAAACACAGGAAGTCAGCATCTCAGCTTCTCCTCACAAGGTCTTGTCCCCTCTGGGTGAGCACACAGCGACGCTCATCCCTACACTGATGGGTGTAGGTTCACAAGGTGAACACCCACCACCACCAGGAACCACCTGTTTTTAGAAGGTTCTCCATAACGAGAAGGAAGACGGGATTTCCTATAACCACAGCCGTCAACCAAAGTGCTGTCTGCAACAGGGGGTCGCAGCCCACGAGGCCACCTCCCTGCCAGGTTGCTACTCCACCCGCAACAAACCAGACCCCCCTGGAGGAAGGAACATTTGCGTTTTTACTGGGAATAGGGAGGTCCCCCCTGGCTCTGCGAACTCCATTCCTTGGCCAGGAGGCGGAGACAGGGAGGGTGGAAACATGAGGTAGATGAGAGGTGAGACAAGCTGCGAGGTAAATGCTTCCCCAAGGTCACAGGTGGGAGATGCCCAGAGGTGCCCTCAGAGCCTGGGCAGGCGGAGAATCCTACCAGCCACCGAGAGAGGAGAGGGAGCAGACCGTGTCCCACGCCCCTCTCTCTCAGGACCCGCGCCCCTCCCCACGCCCAGGTGGGAGTCACAGGTGAGGAAATCCAGGAGGAGGAGAGCGGCTTACTCAAGCTCACCCAACCAGGAAGAACCGGGTTCGGACTCTGGTCTACCCGAGGGTACACCTGTGCGATTCCAGGCTGGAGACTGGGATTTGAATGACGGCCGCCCTCTCCCTTCCCCCCCAGCACCCTCTGCCAACGAGGTTTTTCCTCCCGGGAGCCCGCCTGAGGGGGCTCATGTGTCAGGAGGCCCAGCCTCGGGCAGGAGGCTGACACAGTGGTGCCTCCGAGTGTCCTCTCCCCACGCCAGACGGCCCCGGTGGTGTCGCCCCAGATGCCCGCTCTGACCCGGTCTCACCTGCTTCGTGTTGTCCGGGGACCGAGGGGTGACCTGACCTCAGCCCATCCTGTCCTCTAGTCCGCTTGTGGCTCAGCCCAGGGCTGCGGGGCCGCAGGAGGTGGCTTCTTACTGCTCAACCCGGCCCGCAGACAGCCTCCCGCCGGGCTCCGGGGCGCTGCGGGAACCAGGGCTGCCCCGGACAGTGCTCCCAGGCTCCCAGTCTCCGTGGCTCCTCCAGGAGGCTCAGTAGCACCGGATTCGGCAGGAAGCCGGGGGACAGCTCACCTGGCCATGTAATGTCCCAACGTCCTGCTCCTGGCTCCGGTCCCCCAGCTTCCAGCACCTCCATCCTCAGTTTCTGATTCCCCTCCATCCTCCTCCTCTTCCTCCTCCTCCTCCACTTCCTCTTCTTCCTCCTCGGCGGCGTTGCAGTCCCAGGAGAAGGTCAGTGTCCGGAGAGAGACGGGAGGCTCCCCGGGGATGAGCTCCTGCCTCGATGTGGGGGAGCCCCAGCTGGCCCAGGAGATGCCGCTCCCCTGGAGCTCCTCCAGGGAACCCGCGTCCTGGGAGGATTCGAGGGCCGGGAGAGGCTCCGGGGACCTGCTCCCGCCCAGCCCGCTGCCCGGCGCCTTCTTGGCCATGTAGCCCGAGGACCCGGCCTCCTCCAGGAGGGAGGAGCCGGCGCTGGCCCCGCTTCCGTCTGAAGCATCGCAAGCAGGACAGCCTTTGGCCTGGACGCCTGCCTCCGGGCGCCCTGGGGCCTGGTCCTTCTGCTCCAGGAAACCGGAGGGCACAAGGTAGGGCTGGACGATGACGTTGTTGTCCGCATCCTCCTCCTCTTCCTCCTCTTCCTCCTCCTCCTCCTCCTCGGCACCGCCCTTCTCTGGCCCGGCCTGAGTGGTGGCTGCGGCCCTGCCTCTCGGGGTCAGCCTGACCCTTCTGGCCAGTTCCTTCTGGGGACAGAGGGTCAAGCCCTCCAGAGTCTCCGGGCCACTGGGCTGGAAGGTTGCTGCGGGGTATCTGTGTCCAGAAAAGTCCTGGTTTGGGGGAGGAGAGACGAGCAGGTCAGGCTTTCCCGAGGCACGACGGCTCTCCCTGAGATTCTCCGGAAACAGGCCCCGAGCCAAGGACGCACACGGACACCGTGTCTCCAGAGGTGATCCCAGGAGAGGCCAGCAGGGGGCGAGCAGGTCAGACGGGCCGGGGAGCGGCCACTAAGACGGGTGTCATCAGGCAAGTGACACCTAAGGCAGCCGGAGCTTAACCTGCTGGGGGCAGCCAGTGCAGTGCCATGAGGTGAGGGGGAGGGGGAAGCAGTGCCCCTCCCTGGCACTTGCAGCCTGCCACGTGCACGGGCAGAGAAGACCCCAGAGGCCAGAGACAGCCCCCAGGGTGCAGGTGCTAGCTGCTGGGAAGAACTTTTAGAAACGCTTCCTCCCTGCTCTGGCCGGCATTGCTCAATGGTTAGAGCACCGGCTTGCAGCACACCGGAGCGTCTCAGGTTCGATTCCTGGTGAGGGCACGTACCTGGGTTGCAGGTTCGATCCCCATCCCTGGTCAGGGCACATGTGGGAGGCAACACAATTGATGTGTCTCTCTCACATTGATGTTTCTCTCTCTTTCTCTTCCCCCCCCCCTTTCCCACTCCCTCCCTTCCACTCTCTCTAAAAAATCAGTGGGAAAATATCCTTACTCCACAGGCGAGGGTTAAAAAAAATACTCTCTCCCACATGGCAGGGACACTCAGAATTCATCCTCAAAGCGCCCACCCCAGCCCAGTGCCCGCTGAGCCTCACCTACGGCCCAGCTTCCCGCATGAGCCCGACCCACCGGCCTCGCCAGGCTTCCCGGCCTCCGCAGCCTCCGCGTGCCAAGGGAGTGAGCCGGCAGACAGGGAGGGGACTCCGGGGTCGGCCTGGGCCGGGCTCACGGGGGGGCAGACTGTGAACTAAGTGTGGGGACCCTTCTACGTCTTCCCCTTTGGGCACCTTTTCCTGCCCTCCCTTTGGGGGCCGGCCTCTCTCCTGCGCCCCAAGGCTGGATGGAGGTCGTGCTCTCGGCACCGACAGATCCTGAGCGGAGACGAAATTATTTAACTCACAGGGACTTGAGGCGCTTCTCCCTTCCAGGCATGGGCATTGGGCGCCAAAGGAACGAATTACTGATCGTGGGAATGTAGATGCGAGGAAAGGAGGTGTTCTGCAGTCTGGGCCGCCTTGCCGATCCGTCCGAGCGACCGCTGAGTCTACCCCGCTCCCTTGCTCAGGCGCACGCCCCCCCCCCCCCCGGGTTTGCCGTACCAGAGCCCGGGGCATCTTCGCCCGCTGGAACCAGGGGTTCCCGGGGAAGCTCCTCCAGATCACGCAGCCCATGGCGATGACCAGCAGCAGCAGCAGCACCGGCGGTAGCGCCAGGAGTGCCCAGTGGACTCCTGGGGAAATAATAAGGATGAAGAAGCAGCAACAACAGCTCCGGTTGACCGACTGCCTCCGTCCCGGGGGCTTCCCGTACACACACATCCTTCCCGTTTATTTGTTTTTTCATACCTCATCCCAGTCTCAGTCCTCCTAAGAATAAACCCAGGCTCCAGACGGCAGAAACCAGGTTAGGGAATCGGCCCAAAGACACACAGTGAGTGTGGTGGAGCCGGGGTTTCCATCGAGGTGAGCCTGTCTCTAGACGCATGCCCCTAACCACCACATCATGAAGCTCCTGATGCGGTCCCACTGTGCACCCACCTGGGGTCCCCAGGGAGAAGCAGGTGGGCTCGGAGAACTCGCTCCATTTAGGGTCACCGAAGGCGTAGATGGTTCTGGCGCTGAGGCAGTGGTACCCTCTGGCATCCGCCTGCAGGGGGATCTGGACTGGCTGCCCATGGGAGGTCTCTGGAAACTGGGTCTGTTTGGAGAAAGAAGCAGAGCAGACCTGTTGTGGGAACCGGCTCTGCCCAGCCAGGATGGGGTGGGGTTGGCAGCTGTGGTCCTGCAACTTCTATTCCTGCAACCAAGTTCAAGTGTTCAAGAAGCACTGCCCAGCACTGTCTGGCTTTTTTTCTGCTGAGTTTCGAGGTAGCGATGGTCTGGGTTCAAAAGCATCCTTGCCATCCAGGGTCACTCCCTGCCCCTGCCCTCTGCCCAGGGCCTGCTGGTCTTCACTTTGAGGGGCATATCCCTCAGACTTCCTGCCCCGAGGGCACCACACTTATTTGGGGGGCATCACGGACACAGAAAACTCTTGGGCGCCCGTGCAATGCAGTAGCCACTGGCCACATGTGGCTCCTGAGCACCTGAAGTGTGGCCAGGCCAAACTGGAATGGACTCTGAGTATAAAATACACACTGGCTTTCCAAGACTGAGGGAAGGAGAATGTCAGATATCTCAATAACTTTTACATTAATTACATGTTGAAGCGGTAACATTCTATTGGATGAAATAGAAGTCTATTATGAAAATTAAATTCACCTGTTTCTTCATTCAGGTGTCTACCCTATGCCGCCATCTTGGTTTCTCCCTTTTCTTTTTATTTAATTTAACAAGGAACATTTAAAATTACCTATCAGGCTTGTACTAATTTCTTTCTTCCTTTTCAAAGATATTTGTATTGATTTTTGAGATAGGGGAGGGGGAGAGGAAGAGAGAGAGAAAGAGGGGGGAGGAGAGAAACATCAATGTGAGAATGGAACATCTGTGGGCTGTCTCCTCCACCCCCTCCAACAGGAATAGAGCCCATGAACCAGACATGTGTCCCAACAGAAATTGAACCGGCAACCTTTTGGTGCACAGATAATGTCCAACCCACCGAGCCACACCGGCCGGGGCTGCATTCCATTTCTATTGGAGAGTACTGGTCGAGGGCCGTGGTCAGCAAGCGGTGGCTCCCGAGCCACACATGGCTCTTTGGTCCCTAGAGTGTGGCTCTTCCACAAAATACCACGTGTGGGTGCGCACATACAGGGCGATTGAAGTAGGCCCATGCGCAGAAGTAGGTTTTCGGCCTGCGCGAGTCTAATATTGAAGAAATGGCGTTAGAACACTCAAGGGGCCAAAGAGTGGCGTGTGGCTTGAGAGCCGCGGTTTGCCGACCACTGGTCTAGAATCTCTGTAAGGTTCTGGAAGGCATGGACCACCTCCAATGGTGTACGTCCTGGGAACCAGAGGACGCGGGAGGTCAGGAGGGCGAGTGTGGGTTCAGAGAAAGAAAAAGGAGTAAGGATGGGGTCAGTCGACTGTACAGCCTGTGGGCAGACCTGGCTGCCGGCTTTTTAAAAAGCAATACTGGAAAACACTGCAGCCTGCATTTACATATAGTCTCTGGTTCCTTCCGTGTCACAGATGCAGAGCTAAGTAGCCATGACAGACTACAGCGGCGGCCGGTCGCCAACCGGAGTTCCGCGAGGTGCGAAAGGTTGGCGACCGCTGGACCACAGGGACTGCAGCCACAGGTACTTACAGCTGACCCTTTAAAAAGTACGCCAACCCTGCTGTAAACACAGACAGACAGACAGACAGACACACAGGCACGCACAGAGAACAAGTCTGAAACTGGACAGATACCAAAGACGTAATTTGTAGTCATCTCTGATACTTTTGGGTTTTCCTCTTAGAGCTCAGGTGTATTTTCTGATTTTTTTTTCCCCTATAATGAATCCAGTGGCTTGGCAAGCAGGCCTCCTGTAGCTCACCACAGTTCAATCAGATTTCATTATTAAAAAACAAAAAAAACCACACACAAAAAAACAAGTGGTTTCAAAATTTAAACAATATATTAGTTAGAAAATGGCTGTGCTGGCCGAAACCGGTTTGGCTCAGTGGATAGAGCGTCAGCGGACTGAAAGGTCCCAGGTTCGATTCCGGTCAAGGGCATGTACTTTGGTTGCGGGCACATACCCAGTAGGGGTGTGCAGGAGGCAGCTGATCGATGATTCTCTCCAATTGATGTTTCTAGCTCTCTATCCCTCTCTCTTCCTCTCTGTAAAAAAATCAATAAAACATATTTAAAGAAAAAAAAAAAAGAAATGCTGAGATATTGGAGAAAATTGCCTGAAATTATTCTTTCCACTTTTTTGCTGTGCTGTGACCACCTAGAAGGCGCAGGGACAGGACGCCCCGCACTCGGCCTGGCAGGTGGAGAAGGGCAGGGACGTGCCACGGTGACGGGTATGCAGGGAGGCTTCCCGGAGGAGGCGAGCAGGCAGGAGGCCGGGAGGGTGAGGAGCAGCGGGGTGCGGTGGGGCCGTGGAGGAAGGGGGCACAAGTCGGGGGCTGGAGAGGGGCTTCCCACCTTGTTCCCAGTCCCCTCCTTCCAGAAATCCACCTGGTACTTAAGGTCCGACGGGGGCATGCAGGGGGGCAGCTGGTAGGTAGCATTGACCTTCAGGACCTCCTCTGTCTGAGTGACCACCAGGATGGGCGGGGCTGGCTCCACTGCGGAAACAGAACAGGACGTGTCAGGACGCTCCGGGCCGCGGGGCGCCCACGGCCCACCTCCAGCAGAGCGCGGGCCGGGAGAGGGGAGCGGGCACTGGTGCTTGTCAGATACCAGGAGCCTGCCAGCCATTTTATTTTATTTTATTTTATTATTTTATTTATTTTTTAAAATATATTTTATTGATTTTTTACAGAGAGGAAAGGAGAGGGATAGAGTTAAAAACTTCGATCAGCTGTCTCCTGCAGATCCCACACTGGGGATGTGCCCGCAATCAAGGTACATGCCCTTGACCGGAATCGAACCTGGGACGCTTCAGTCCACAGGCCGACGCTCTATCCACTGAGCCAAACTGGTTTCGGTGTTTTGTTTTTTTTTAAAGCCCTGCCGTGACCCTGGAGAGGACAGCACTAGTCCCATTTTACAGAAGGGCACACTAAGGCTTAGGGAGGTGAAATGACCAGGCCACACTCCTGGTAAACCTGCCTTTGTTCGTGTTGTCCCTCGTACCGTCACATGCCACTGGCCTGCCAGAATCCTGCCCTTATGCACCGGCTTCCTATGGCTGCTCCCACACATCACCGCCAACTGATGGCGTAAAGCAGCCACCTCTGTTGTCTCCAAGTGCTGCAGGTCTGAGTCCGGGCACAGGGACCATGTGTGATGTTCTGGGCAAGGAGCTGAGGGGAACAGGGAGAGGAGGCCTCCATGGGTCCTGACCTGCAGGAACTGAAAGAAATTAGGGGGAGCCCTAGCCGGTTTGGCTCAGTGGATAGAGCGTCGGCCTGCGAACAGAAAGGTCCCGCGTTCGATTCCGGTCAAGGGCACATGGCTGGGTGGTGGGCTCGATCCCCAGTGGGGGACTTGCAGGAGGAGCCGATCCATGATTCTCTCTCATCGTGGATGTTTCTCTCTCTCTCCCTCTTCCTTTCTTTCTGAAATCAATTTTAAAAAATTATATATATATATAAGAAATTAGGAAAAAATGAAATATAGAAACTGGTTTGGCTCAGTGGATAGAGCGTCGGCCTGCAGACTGAAGGGTCCTGGGTTTGATTCCGGTCAAGGGCATGTACCTTGGTTGCGGGCACATCCCCAGTAGGGGGTGTGCAGGAGGCAGCTGGTCGATGACTCTCTCTCATCGATGTTTCTATCTATCTCTCTCCCTTCCTCTCTGTAAAAAAAAATCAATAAAAAATATTTTTTTTAAAAAAAGAAAAGAGCCGGGACCGGTTTGGCTCAGTGGATAGAGCGTCGGCCTGCGGAATGAAAGGTCCCGGGTTCAATTCCAGTCAAGGGCATGTACCGTGGTTGCGGGCACATCCCCAGTAGGAGGTGTGTAAGAGGCAGCTGATCGATGATTCTCTCTCATTGATGTTTCTAACTCTCTATTCCTCTCTCTTCCTCTCTGTGAAAAATCAATAAAAAAATATAAAAATAAATAAATAAAGAAAGAAAGAAAGAAAGAAAAGAAAAGAAAAGAAAAGAAAAGAAATATAAAAACTACCAAAACTTAAGAGAGAAAGTGGCCAGGGCCACAGTGGAGGGCAGAAAAAGGCAGGAAGGGTCATTCAGGGTTAGGGTGTGCTGCAGGAAAATCAGGGGGCTTCAGGGAGGGGGCGGGGGGGGAAAAAGTAACAAAAAAAAAAAAAAAAGGCAATCTCCTGTCTGAATCGTTCCCTCCATTTCTATCTATCCAGCCATCCAGTGGTTCGTCCACCGTTCTTCTAGCTGGACTCCCCCTGTTCCTGCCTCCCATCTCTCCTTTCCAGACAACATTCCCTCCTTCCTCTCCACCGTTCTAGCCAATCAGCCCACGTCTCTGCTCCCCCATCCATCCTTCTTTCCTTTCCACCTATCTTCCCTCCCTTATTTTCCTTCCTTCATTCGTTTGTTCATTTCTCTTCCCCCTTCTCCCCTTCCTTCCCAGCCCTCCCTACACAGCCAGCCTTGCTTCGGTGCTCTCTAACCACTGATCCACCCACCCATCCGCCTTTCCTTCTTGTGCTCCCTCTCCCCATCCACACTTGCTTCCTTCTAGTATAATAAATGCCTGTGCTGTTCATGATCGAGGCTGTGCTCGATAGAAGATCAGAAATATCATAGTAAGAGGTACCAACTGTCCGAAACCGGTTTGGCTCAGTGGTAGAGCGTCCGTCTGCGGACTGAAAGGTCCCGGGTTCGATTCCGGTCAGGGGCATGTACGTTGGTTGCGGGCACATCCCCGGTAGCGGGTGTGCAAGAGGCAGCTGGTCGATGTTTCTCTCTCATCGACGTTTCTAGCTCTCTATTTCTCTCCCTTCCTCTCTGTAAAAAATCAATAAAACATATTAAAAAAAAAAAAAGGTACCGGCTGAACTGTGGCGTTGTGGCCCGAACTCCCTGCCATGAAGTCAGGCTGCTTGGACCCGGGCCGTGGCCAGGGCGCTGCCCCGGGGAAGTGGGGGACAGACGGTCGCACGGCCGTGCCACTAAGGCAAGTGCTTGGACAGAGGACCTCCCACCCAGTCCCTGATGCACAGACCCACCTTCAAAAAGGTACTCCAGGTACTTGGACTCCACCCAGGGGGACCTGGTGCCGGGAGCAACCGCCTGCACGCGGCCCTTGAACTTGTTGAACAGGTCCTGCTTCTCCAGGCACATCAGGGAGCACGTCAGCTCTGTGGTTTGGGTGCACTTTCTCACTTTCCGCCACCGTTTGGGGGTTGCCAGGAAGCTGAGGGAGGAAACAGAGGCGCATTGGGCCGTGGACGCGGCTTCCTGGGACAGGGGGACCTACAGGACAAGAGATCACTCGTCTTTCCCCTGTGCATCCACCCCTCTGTCCTCCGTCAGTCCATCTCTCCAGCTCAGGCTCTGGAGAGACACGCGCGGGTGGGAACTGTGGCTCCGGCCCTCACCAGCCCTGGGACCCTCTGCAGGGAACAGCCCTGAGCCCCGGCTCCTCCCCTGTCCTGTGTCATGGTGGCTGCTACTGCAACAATTTTGCACATTTATTCGTTCGGGCACTTATGGACCGACCACCTGCTGTGTGCCAGGCACCCCGCTGGGGGCTGTGTGGGTGTCAGAGGGGGACACGCAGGCCCAGGACTCTGACCTCCTGAGAACGCTGAGCTCAGAGACCTGAGCTCTGGGCATCCTTCCTGGGGGAACGGCAATGCGTGACTGACGAGGCCCTCGGGAACCTGCGCGCTGGCGGGAGGAGAGGAGGGATGCCTGGCACATTAACCAGATTAAGTCCTGGTCAGGGGCAGTGGTCACAGGGCCACGTGGAGTGGCTGCTCTCTAAAGGCGGCTCAGGACCGAGGAGGCCACAGCGACAGGAAGGCTGTCAGGTGAAGGCCGCGGGGGGAGGGGTGGGGGGGAGGACCAGCAAAAGGAAAAGCCATGCGATGGGGAGGATCCGGACGAGAACCCAGGGCCAGGGAGGAGAAAGCTGTGCACAGATGGGGGATGAGGGTGGGGAGGGGCCTGGGCAGAGCAGGTGGCCACACCGTCCTGGTAAGGAGTCTGGCTTTCATTCCAAGTGTGATTGGAAGCCACGGGGAAGTTCTGAACAGGGGACTGATCGAATTTATGTTTCTATTTTTAAAAAAATATATATTTTTATTGATTTTTTACAGAGAGGAAGGGAGAGGGATAGAGAGTTAGAAACATCAATGAGAGAGAATAATCGATCAGCTGCCTCCTGCACACCCCCTACTGGGGATGTGCCCGCAACCAAGGTACATGCCCTTGACCAGAATCGAACCTGGGACCCTTCAGTCAGCAGGCCAATACTCTATCCACTGAGCCAAACCAGATAGGGCTAATTTATGTTTTTAGAAAATTACTGGGAAACCAGCGAGGAGGCTGCCGCCATGATCCGAGAGAAGGGGTTGAATTCAGGATATATTTTGCAGCAAAAATAGACAAACTTCAGGAAGAAACAGAAAACCCATAATTACAGTGAGAAAAAAAAATCTTAATACAACTAAGCAATTAACAATTAAACAAAGATAAATATTGAAAAATATAAAAAATGAACAAATAATTATCGAAGTTTGTCTAATGAACACACAGAGGACAAACGGAACAAACTGGGTAAGCCACAGCGTTGAAGCCCTAACCCCCAACGTGCCTGCATAGTAGTCTCCCTGTATCTGAGGGGGATGTGTTCCAAGACGCCCAGGAGATGCCTGAAACTGCCGATAGTATTATATCATGTCTCTTTTCCTACACATACCTATCTTTGATAAAGTTTAATTTACAAATTAGAAACAGTAAGAGAGTAATAATAACTAATACTAAATGATATTACCATGACACAACATGACAATAAAAGTTATGTGAATGTGGTCTCTCTAGCTCTGATAACCAAACTGATCATGAGTGACTAACAGGTGGGCGGCGTACACAGCGTGGATATGCTGGGTCAGGTTGTTCATGTCCTGGAATGGAGCGGGGGTGGTGGTGCCAGATTTCACCACGCTCCTCAGAACGGCGTGCCATGTAACACCGAGGAAGTGTTTATTTTTGGAATTTTCCATTTAGTATTTTTGAACTGTGGTTGACTCCGGGTAACTGAAACCATCCGAAAGCCAAACCACGAATAAGGTGAGGCTGCGGTATTTGGGGACAGGCCCTTTAAAGATGTTATTGATGTTAAACATGGTCATAGGTTGAAGACTGGTGTTCTTAAAAGAAGAGGGAGGGACAGCAGGGACAGAGGAAAGGCCAGGTGAGGAGGTGGCCACCTGCAAGGCCAGGAGAGAGGCCTCAGGAGAAAGCAAACACACAACACCTTGATCTTGGACTGCCAGCCTCCAGATCTGTGAGACACGCATTTCCGTTGTTTAAGCCTCACCCCCACCCTGGTTTATGATATTTTGCTGTGGCAGCCCTAGCAAGCTAAGCTAAACACACTCAGGTTTCGGCACCATGGTGGGGTGCTGATGCAACAAATATTGGAAAAGGTGGAAGTGGTTTTAGAACTGGTCATGGGTAGAGGCTGGCAGAGTTTTGAGGTGCATGTTGGAAAAAGTCAAGACTGCCTTGAAAAGACTGTGGGTAGGAATATGGGTGTTCCAGGTGGTTCTGGGGAGATCTCGGGTGGGAAGGAGGAATGTCTCATTGGAAACTGAAGGAAAGGTGAGCCTTGGTATAAAGAGGCAAGGAGCTGCAGAACCACAGGACTAGCATCCACCTATGAAAATTACTAAAAATTCCATAATGTCAGTGGTCAGCCTGGGTTTAGATTTCACCGTTGTCCCTTAAATGTCTTTTTTATAAATAATAAGTTTGGATCAAAATCCCAGAGAAATCCCCATGTAGAGGGGGGAAAAAAAGAGGCAAAGAGCATGATTGAATCTTATTCTAGTGTTTTTTTGAAAGTAGAAGTTAGAAATGATGAACTTGGGCCCTAACCGGTTTGGCTCAGTGGATAGAGCATCAGTCTGCAGACTGAAAGAAAGGTCCCAAGTTCGATTCCGGTCAAGGACATTTACCTTGGTTGTGGGCACATCCCCATGGGGAGGTATGCAGGAGGTAGCTAACTGATGTTTCTCTCTCATCGATGTTTCTAACTCTCTATGAAAAATAGAGAGTTAGTTCCTCTCTGTGAAAAAAATCAATAAAATATATATATTTTTAAAAAGAAGTGATGAACTTGGTGTTCAGCTGAGGAGGTTTCAATGGAAAGTGTTGAAGATGTAACCTGGTTTCTCCTTTCTGCTTGTGGTAAAATGAGGAGGGAGAAGAGCAATCAATAGAAGGAACGGTTAAAAAATGGAAGATTTGAAAAATTCTCAGCGTATGCATATCGCAGGAAGCGAGAAAGCAGACTCTGGAGAGCATACCAAGAGTGTGGCTAATGAAAGCTTGGTTGTGGCCGATTCCAGGTTTTAGGTTAGAAATCGTGCAGATGAGCCTGAAACATCTTGTCATAACAACACACGATACCAAAGGCGACTGGGGTCAAGTTCAAAGCACTCAGGAGCCAAGGTGAGGAGCCTTTTGCTGGCCAAGCTCCACTGAGTAGAATGAGTTCCCACAGATGGAAACCATCAGGCATGTTCAAACAACTTGAGTTCATAAGAATAAGAAAAAGAAAAAGGAGTCCATGACTATTTGGGAGGTGACAGAGAACCAAATCATTATCTTGAAAACTGGTAAATAAAAGGGGGGGGGGGGGAGAAAGCCCAAGCAGGGCTCCTGTCTTGCCTGTTTGAAAAGTACCTCTGGGATGTGAGGGCGATCTGGCTGCGACATTTGTCACCCCATTGATCGCCAGGGTTGATTCGGCTGATCTGGCTGGCTAGGCGGGTGTCCCCCTCCTCCCTCACCGATCCATGTGCGTCTCTCCTGAAGCTGCGCGCTCGGTCGAAGAGGACGACTTTCCCCCAAGAGGAGAGGACCGGTCTTCGGTCAAGGGTATATGAGTAGCTGCGCTCCCCTGCTAGAACCTCCAAACAAGCTCTCAAGAAAAGTACCTCTGAAGAGCCAATACTATAAAGAAAGCACCTCTTTCTAAAATAATTCCCACTATAGAATAAAAATGATACAATTAGAATAGGACCGTTCTGCAGATCTCACAGGTGTTCAGACAGTGCAAATGAGAAGGCAAATATCGCAAAGGTCCAGAGGGTGGCCTTCGAGCTCTTTAATCCACTTACCACAGCCCCACTCTTTTATTTTTTTAAAGATTTTTAAAAAATATATATTTTATTTAAATATATTTTATTGATTTTTTTTTTTACAGAGAGGAATGGAGAGGGATAGAGAGCTAAAAACATCAACCAGCTGCCTCCTGCACATCCCCTACTTGGGATGTGCCTGAAACCAAGGTACATGCCCTTCACTGGAATCGAACCTGGGGCCCTTCAGTCCACAGGCCGATGCTCTATCCACTGAGCCAAATTGGTTAGGGCCCAGCCCCACTCTTTCCAGCCGTGTGACCCTGAGCGGAGCCCCTGCCTCCTTCCTCCAAAGACCGTGGGAGATTAAGTTTGGTTCATGCATTGCTTCAGTGCTGACCTAACCACACGCACACAACAGTGTTGGGTGCTCTCTGCCTCCTGACACAGCTCTGCGCGGCTCCTTCGGAAAGCTCTCTTGCAGCCTGTCCTCCGAGCCAGGCCCCCGTCACGCACACCTGGGTGCTAAGGGCAGAGGGCCGGAGATGGGATAGGTAGAGCACCAACTCTGGGGTCAGACAGACGGGATTTTCTGCTGGCTCCGTCGCCAGCTTCCTGGACGTGACCGATCATGGCAGCTCCCCAAGCGGCTTCCTGGCCTGTACACCGGGAAGCGCAGCCCTGGCTGGTGACGCGGGGAGGAAGTGACACGTTCCTGGAGGCTCAGCCCGCGGCAGGCCGACGGGCCCTGAGCCCAGGGCAGTGCTCCCCTCCCTGCGCCCTCCTCCTCACCAATGCGAGATCAAGCCTCCGGAGCGCGTGCTTTGATCCGCTTCCTCTCCCGCTACAGACCCTCCCGTGACTCCCGTCCGTGTGCCAAGACGGGGAAGCCGTTGGCATCTTCCGCTGCCTCTGGGTGGGCAGTGGCTGCCTGGCCTGCCACGCTGGGAAGGACGCTGGCGAGGAGGCTGTGTGCAGGCTCCGTGGGGAACAGGGTGATCGTCTAGTGATGGATGCCCCGCACGGGCTCTGCAGGAAACCCCTGCCCCCCTCATCGGCCCGAACACCTCCAAGCCCTGAATCCAGGCCCCCAGGAATCCAGTCGCTCCATCCAAGCCCTGCTCTGACTTTTCTCAAAGATCCACCCTCACCCCGGGCAGGCCCATCCCCTGGGCACTGCTCTCCGCTCAGCACCATCCCCACCTCCAGACCGTTACCCAGCGCCCTCTCCGGGTACCTGCCACATGCCATCTCCCCGGGGACCCAGAGAGCCTGCCAAGGCTGCCCCACGGAGAGCAGCTTCCCCAGGAAGGCCCTCCCACCCCTGCCACCCCCTCAGGCTCCCCCCACCGGCCGGAGGCTCCCCTTCACCTCTGATAGGCCACTCGATAGGTCACGTCCAGGGGGTTGCCGGGCCCCGGGAGCCACGTCAGGTACACGCCGAAGTCCCGGGAGAGCAGCGTCACGTTCTGGGGAGGGGCCAGGGGGGGCCTCCCTGCGGGGGAGAAAGGCGTGAGGCCCGGAGCTCAGGGCTCATCCCGACTCGGGCCTTTCGGAGCTGCAGAGCGGCGTGGCGGTTAGGAACCAGGAGCCTCTGGTGGCTGAGGTGTGGGGGCTGTGGTGGAGGCTGGGGGTCAGGGTCCCTGTGACAGCCACACCAGAGCGGCTGTACTGCAGCCTCGTACCCTCCCCATGCCTAGCAGCCCACCTGCCCCTGAGCTCCTGCCCACTCTGCCCCCTGAGGGTCCCAGGAGACCACAGAGCAGGGCCATCTGGGTCTCCCGGCGACAGGAGGGGACAGCCCCAGGGCCTGCGTGAGCAGGTGCTCTGCCCGCTTCCCAGCCACGTCCCAGCGCCCGCCTGCAATGGACCCTGCACGTAGTAGATGCACAATAAATATCTGAGCCAGGCCCTGGCCGGTGTGGCTCAGTGGATAGAGTGTTGGCCTGTGGACTGAAAGGTCCCGGGTTTGATTCTGGTCAAGGGCATGTACCTTGGTTTGGGGCACATCCCCAGGTGGGGGCGTGCAGGAGGCAGCTGATGGATGTTTCTCTCTCATCGATGTTTCTATCTCTGTATCCCTCTTCCTTCCTCTCTGGAAAAAAAAAAAAAAAAAAAAAAAGATCAAGAAATAAAATATCCGAACCAATCCTGGGGTAACTTGGATGATTCTGAAGACCTTCCAGCGGGGCTCCCTGCTCCCAACCTTGTCTCCACGCGACAGCAGACATTCAAGTGGAAGTCAGATCCTGCCTTGCTCTGCCCCACCCCTCTGCCCCTTGCTCCCTCTCCTCGGGCCACACTGGCCTTTCGGCTGTTCCTCAGGAACGCCAGGCACCTTCTGGGAACCCAGCACTGCGGCCTGGGGGACACGTTCCCCGCCCACCCTCACTTCCCCTTGTCCCGCTGAGAACCCTCTCTGACACGTGCATCTGATTACACAACTGCCCAGGCCATGCCCTGCCCTCGCCTGCGGAATAAAGTCCACCGTCCTTATCACAGTCCTGAGGCCCTGCCCGGCCCGGCCCGGCCCTCCGGCCCCTGGCCGGCCTCTTCCCCACAGGCTCTCGGGCTGCGCCAGTCCTCCTCGTGACCTTCTCAAGAACCACGGAGTTCTTTGGGGTCTCTGAACCCAGGCGTCTCTGACTGGCAAGCACTCAGCATCTAATCTTTCATGTATTTATTTTTGTGAATTCTCACCTGAGGATATTTTTTCTTTTTTTTTTTTCTTTTTTTTTTTTTTTTTTTTTTTTAGAGAGAGAGTGGAAGGGAGGGAGGGGGAGAGAGACAGACAGACAGAGAAACATTGATGTGAGAGAGACACATCAATTGGTTGTCTCTTACACGTGCTCCACCTGGGGCTGGGGATGGAACCTACAACCCAGGTATGGGCCCTTGACCAGGAATCAAACCTGCAATCCTTTGGTGTGCAGGCCAATGCTCTAACCACTGAGAACACTGGCCAGGGCCATCATCTAATCTTTCAAAGGCTCCATTCAAATGCCACTTCCTCCAGGGAGCCTTCCCTGACTTCTCTAAGAAGTGGTGATGCTAGCAGCGAACGTGTATTGTGTCCTAACTATATTGCCTGCATTTCCTCTTTCAAACCTCCCCACTCCCCTAGGTCAGCGGCTCTTTGGCCCCTTGGGTAATTTTTAGCAAAGGCCAGCTCAGGAGTACCCTAATTCAGTTAAGAAAAAGGTGCCCATCTATATAGTTTGAGTTTTAAAAAAAAAACTTGGCTCTCAAAAGACATGTCAGTCGTTGTCCCGTTGGTATTTGGCTCTGCGGACTCATGAGTTTGCCGACCACTGCCCTAGGCATTGGTACTAATCGTGATCATCACACTGTGGGCGAGGAGACAGAGGCCCTCTCAGCTAACGAGCTGTGGGATCAGAACTCAAATGGAGGCCTAGCCAACCCCGAAGTCTGAGCTCCTGACCACACGGCCTTCGCACGGGGCCTGTTCAGCTTCAGTCTCCCAACGTCAATGGGCCGTTATTGGTCAGCAATGTCTATGGGCCACTGTGTGCCAAGGTTTCAGAGAAAACAACTCCATCCCTGCCCCGCAGGCGCCTGTGGGCCCAGGGAGAACCAGTGCCCTGCAGTGGCCCCTAGGCCCCGACAGAAACCCACCCAGATGACAGAACAGGTTACAGAAGGGCTTTGGGGAGAGACAGGCCAGTCCTACGGACGGCTCTCCGCTGGGCTCCCTACCCCGGCCTTCCAGGCCCCGATAGGGGTGCCCATGTCCTTGCGTTGGAAACGGCTGGCTGGGATACTGGTGAGGCCACTGCTCCCAGCTTCCGGATTTTCCAGCAGACAACTGGGATGGAGGCCCACGTGTGAGCTTGGCCACAGGGGAGAATGCTGCCCACTAGAGCAGCTGCCCTTTTCTGAGCTTCCAGCAGCCGCCAGACGAGGGTTAGGCAACCAATCGATGTGTCACTTCCCCTCCGTGGAGAGCGGGGGAGCACTAGGCCTGGAGACAGACGGTGAATCATTCGCTCGAGGCTACACAGCTAGTTTGTGCGGGAGCCAGGATGTGAACCTGGATCCAGCTGAACTTCACCCTAACTCCGTGGTCGGCAAACATGCGGCTCTTTGGCCCCTTGAGTGTGGCTCTTCCACAAAATGCCTGGGCAAGTCTATTTTGAAGAAGTGCCGTCAGAAGAAGTTTAAGTTTAAAAAATTTGGCCCTCAAAAGAAATTTCAATGGTTGTCCTGTTGAGATTTGGCTCTGCGGACTAATGAGTTTGCCGGCCACTGCCCTAACCCATCACACCGCAGTTCGTGTTGCATAAATTAAAAAATCCCTCGGGAGCCCAGCCGGTGTGGCTCAGTGGTTGAGCATCGACCTATGAACCAGGAGGTCACTGTTTGATTCCTAGTCAGGGTACACGCCTGGAGTTCAGGCAACATCCCCAGTAGGGGGCAGGAGAAGGCAGCCAATCAATGATTCTCATCATTGATGTTTCTCTCTCTCTCCCTCTCCCTTCCCCTCCGAAAAAAATAAAAATATATATTTTTTTAAAATAAAATGAATGAAGGTCTCGCGGGGAAAGCTCAGTTAGGTCTGGACAAGAAAGGAACTGAGCTTGACAGTGACACTGGGAGCCAGAGGACCCCTTCTCGCCTCCCTTACGCTGTCCCTCATCAGCTGCAAAGACACTCCCTGCTGGGAGGCAGGCGCCAGGGGCTGGGGCACCCCTTAGCGGACCTCAGTAGCTGGACAGCCCTGTGCCAACCGCCCAAGCCACGGGCAGGGTCCACCAGGATGGCTTCAGCCTGCCTTCCCTGGTGTGTGTCCCACCTCTGCCTCCTTCCTGGGCAATTCATTGCTCTCTGAGCCTCCGTTTTCTACCACAGAAGAGGGAGAAAGTAATCTCTACGTCATAGGACGCCTGGGCTGGCTGTAAAGCTTAAATAGGATGACGTGGTGCCCAGCACAAACAAGTTGCTCCATGAAAGTTGTCTCTGCTGAAACCGGTTTGGCTCAGTGGATAGAGCGTCGGTCTGTGGACTGAAAGGTCCCAGGTTTGATTCCTGCCAAGGGCATGTACTTTGGTTGAGGGCTCATCCCCAGTAGGGGGTGTGCAAGAGGCAGCTGGTAGATGTTTCTCTCTCAGTGATGTTTCTAGCTCTCCCTTCCTCTCTGTAAAAAATCAATAAAATGTCTATATTTTTAAAGTCTCTAAATTAAGGTGACCAGACATCCCGATTTTTAACAATTTGTCCCGCATCCCATAGCATTTTAAAGCAGTCCCGATTTTTGTAAAAAATCAATAAAATATATATTTTTAAAAAAAGAAAGAAAGAAAAAGAAAAGAAGGGGCTTAGGACAGAGTCACCCCAGGGCACCGCTGACCAGGGCTCCTCTCCCTCAGGCCGAGGGGCGCACCTGACACCCCGCAGGGGGTGGGGGCTGCGGGGCAGGCAGGCCCCGGTCTGACTCCCCCGGGGAGGCTCAGCGCGGGGTGAACGTGGCGAGCAGGACCCCGGGGTGGGGGTCGGGGTCGGGGGGCCCCTAAAATGCACGATAGGAATGAATGCAGCGGTTTACATGGGTCTCCCCCCCGCTCTCCGGGAGCCGCGCTGGCATTCGGAAACGTTCCTTTCCACTGGAACCTCCAGAGGTTCCAGTGGAAAGGAACGTCCAGGCTCCGGTGGATGGGCCAGGCGGCCAGCGCCCCGCGGCACTGCGGCCCCGAGGCTCCGGCCACGCCCCTCCCTGCTCTGAGCTGGGTCCGAGGGTGGACGCGCTCGCCCGGGCGTCCCGCACCCCTCCCCCGCACCCCTACCTCCGGCGGGCCGTACTCTCCCGCGCCCCCGCACCCTCCCGCGCCCCCCCCACCTCCAGCGGACCGCGCCCCCCCTACACCCTCACCTCCAGCGGACCGCGCCCCCCCTACACCCTCACCTCCAGCGGACCGCGCCCCCCCGCACCCTCACCTCCAGCGGACCGTACCCCCCCTCCCCGCACCTTCACCTCCAGCGGACCGTACCCCCCCTCCCCGCACCTTCACCTCCGGCGGGCCGCGCCCCCCCCACACCCTCACCTCCAGCGGACCGTACCCCCTCGCACCTTCACCTCCAGCGGACCGTACCCTCCCCCCCGCAACCCTACCTCCAGCGGACCGCGCCCCCCCCGCACCTTCACCTCCGGCGGGCCGCGCCCCCCCGCACCCCTACCTCCAGAGGACCATAGCCCCCCCGCACCCTCACCTCCGGCACCCCTACCTCCGGCGGGCCGCAGCAGGCACAGCAGCAGGAGGGCCCAGCGCCCGGGCCGGGTCATGTTGGCCCTTCTCCGGCGCCCGGAGGGCCCGGTCCGCTCCGCTCACCGCCCCGCCCCCGCTCACCGCCCCGCCCCCGCTCACCGCCCCGCCCCCACTCACCGCCCCGCCCCCGCTCACCGCCCCGCCCCGCTCACCGCCCCGCCCCGCTCACCGCCCCGCCCCCGCTCACGCCCCGCCCCGCTCACCGCCCCGCCCCGCTCACCGGCGGCAGGTGACAGGCCGGCAGCCAATGGGAGGCCGGGCCCGGGGACTGCCCCGGGGGCCGGGGCTCGGCGGGGGCTCCCCCCGGGGGCGCCCCGCGGCGGGACAGAGGCTCGGGCTCTGGGCTCCGGGCTCCCTGGCGCGTGCACTTGGCTGTTTTTGCCGGAGCCCGGGTGCGGGTGCGGGGACCGTGAATCGGTGTGTGCGAGGAGGAAAGTGTTGTTGTTTTTTAAATTAATAATCAGCGTTAGGAATCCCAGGACGAGGTTTTTAACTAACGAGATCGCGGAGTGTCCAGGGCCTGAGGGACAGCCAGCCTCGCCGGGGACACCGCCGCGGGACCTGAGCGTGTATTCTGGGCCCACACTGAGCCAAGCGCTTTAACGGAGAGCAATCATGCAACTAATGCAATTAATGCATTATTGCTTTGATCTCCCCGACCTACCGGAATCCAGGGGGTTGGTCCCGTGGCTCTCCGCATTCCCACGGGCTTCTTCCCTGAAGCCCGGGCTTGGCGATACATTCCCTCAGTAGCAGGTACTGTTCAGGGCAGAAACGTAATATTGGGAACTAGCTATTCGCATTCAGAAATAAATATTCTTCGTGCTCTGTGAACCATGATTGTTTTGTTCTGATTAAAGAAAGCATGTTCTAACTTGCCAGGAGTTCCGGGAACTGCCTGTCATTATGGAGAGATTTACAACCTCTTTGGCTGAAACAATTGAGTCCTGAGGGATCTGCTCTTCACCACCCACCCCCAGCCCCTAAGGCCTGTATCTGGTCCAGGGCGCCCAGAGGCACCCACGCTCTATGACTCCTCCCCCAGCCTACGTGACTGGTCACCTGTAGTGATTATCTTGGGCCTGCAGTTCCTGCTTTCCCACCTCCTCTTTGTCCTACCGGGCATCAGCAGCTGGGTTATGGGAACAGGCAGAGCAGATGTTTGCGGATGACCTGCTGCTCTCCCATCCTGCCTGCAGGCATTATGGGAATAAATGCTCTATATGACTCAACCCTGCCTCTGCTGAATTGGCTGAAGTAGTGACAGGCAGCCCAGACCCTTTGGTTGTCCGGTTAGAGTACTACCAAAATATTGTTATGGGGTCGAACCTTGGGTTCAAAATAAGACCACCGGAGGCTGATGATTAATTAAAAAGCAGGCAAAGATGTATTGAAATATCTGGCCAGGTCAGACGCGAGAGCACCACACGCAGGTGGTCTCCACACGATTGCACCGTTTCAGGGGTAGGCAGTCCCTTTTAAAGGTTCAAACCATAGGAATTTTCCTATGTTCTAAATTCTAAATTCCTAAAGACTACATTCTAAAGACTGGGGTCAGCCCAGCAGGGTCGTGGCTAGTCACATCCTGCTGGACATTGGAATGTGGCCCTATCCTGCAATAGCCGATAACATAGAAGCAGAGCTCAGAGGTTATCTGCAGTTTCTATCTCTGAAGGTTACTGAGTCAGTGGGAATTACTCTCCTGTGCTCCTGGACCCAGGCAAGGGAAAATTGCCTTAGCCTCCAAGTCTCCACCTGAAAGCTAAGGTAAATAGCTCCCCCCTCCCCATGTTTAATCAGGTGCAAGAGCCAAACTAGAAGGGTTAAAATTCAAACAGCAGTTTTTACCAAAGTATGGCTGCCACTATATTTCAATATGGGCCCATTAAAAAAAAAAAAAAAAAGTCTGTCTGTAGGCACAAGTAACAGCTTTGAGAGGATATACACCAATATGTTCGTGGTTGTTCCCTCTGGGTGATGAGGACTTTTTATTTTTTTAAAAATATATTTTTATTGATTTCAGAGAGGAAGGGAGAGGGAGAGAGAGCTAGAAACATCAATGATGAGAGAGAGTCATTGATTGGCTGCCTCCTGCACAACCCCACTGGGGATGGACCCTTGACCGGAATCGAACCTGGGACCCTTCAGTCCGCAGGCCGACGCTCTTATCCACTGAGCCAAACCTGGTAGGGCTGATGAGAACTTTTTAAAATTCCTTCTTTCTGCGTATGTTTATTTTTATACATTTTCAATTGTGTGTTGCTTTTCCAACAAGAAAGGTCACTTCTATTCTAAAAATAATCATAGCTCTCCTTTATTAAATATATTCTTTTCTGTCCTTCCACAACGCTTAAAGGAGGCACCGCCTCTTCTTTTTTTTTAAATCCTCCCTGAGGATATTTTCCCATTGATCTTTAGAGAGAGGGAAAGACAGAAATATCGATATCCGCAGTCGGACACTCTATCCACTGAGCCATACGGGCATGGGGCCTTTACAGATGAGGAAACTGCGGTTTGTTCTGAGAACCCAGAGAGCTTATGCAGGCGCCGGACTGGATTCCACTCTGCCTCTGGGCCGGGCGACCACAGTGCAGCTGTGACCAAACCCCTGAACCAGGACCAGACATGCGGGCAGCAGAGAGAAGCATCTGTCGCAGGTGCTGGCTCTCGCTTGGATCCCAGCAGTTCTTGGGAGAGAGAATGCACTTTCACAGAACTTACTGGGTTTCCCTGGGTGCCAACATTCAGAAATTTCAGGGTAGCCCTGGGGTTTGCATTGTGCCTTCAGCCCAATCAGTACTTCCTCACAGGGGCTCACAGGGGCCATGGCTGGACCTCAAAGGCAAGGAAAGGGGCCTCACGTGGCCGGCACACTCTTACGTTTCTTGGAATTTCTTCTGAAATTATGACTTTGTAGCAGAATAAAATAATCAGTTTCTCTGACTCCATCTGGATTGAGCCTGCCCAGTTCCATTAACAAGTATATCAGTAACTTCCTAGTAAGAGGTAGGCTTATCCCTAAAGGATTCTCATCTGTAGACGGTTTGTTTAAAGATTTATAGGAACCTCATGCCGGCAGCCACAGCTAGGTGACCAATGCAAAGAAGTTTCACAATCTTCTTGGACCTTTCCTAAGGTCCAGATGTCTGTGGTGACCAATCACCTTCTGAGCTCAAAGTTCCCCCCCTTTCCCAGACATAAGAGAGCCTACATTCTGTACTTTCTCCAGAAGGTTCTTTGGGACGCTAGTCTGCCATCTTCTTGGCTGGCTGGCTTTTCGATGACGTTGCTTTCCTTGCCTGTGCCCCATGCCATCCGACGGGTGGCTGTCGTGCAGCGAGCAGCTCTAGCTTTCCTTTGATTACAACAGCATTAACCCACCGCAGCCCTTCCCGGCCCAGCACCCCCCTGGGCGGGAGCATTTCTGCGGTGGGACCCACCTGCTCTGCTGCTGGATGTTGGTCTGCATGTGGCACCTGCTCATTTCGCTTGCTCTCCCTTTCCCTCCACCCCATCGTTTCGCGTTAGGAAACCGTGTGTCTGGGTGCCTTGGTGCATCCATACAAGGTGGGGCAAAAGTCTGTTTACAGTTGTGAGTAGGCAAAACAAGGGTTTTATTCTTGTATTGTTACTGATTATTGTATTACTAGAGGCCTGGTGCATGGCATCGCGCACAGTGGGAGGGTGTTCCCTCAGCTTGGCCTCAGGGGTTGTCCGACTAACGGCTTAGGCCTGCCCGCCCCCTCCCCCCCCCCCCCCAGGCCTGAGCTGTCAGTAGGACATCCTTAGTACCATCACCGAGGCAGGAGAGGCTCCTGCCACTGCCACTGCGCTCACCAGCCGTGAGTCTGGCTTCTGGCTGAGCGGCACTCCCCGTGTTAGTGCAGTGACCACCAGAGGGCAGCGCCTGCATTGAGCGTCTGCCCCCTGATGGTCAATGCATGTCATAGCAACTGGTCGTTCTGAAGTTCAGTCTATTTGCATTTTAGCCTTTTATTATATAGGATTTTCCATAGGAACAACTGTAAACCAGCGTTTGCCCCAACCTATATATAAGAGGACATTTTGTGATCACGAACTTGGGTAAGTTGCATCTCTCAAAACCTTAAAGAAAAAGTCATCTTGGATGCAGGTCCAAGAAAATCTCAGCCAGTTCCCCTGACATGGGCCCTCCACCTGTCCTCAGTGTGCTGGTCAGTTTCTTTCCAGCATCTCAAACACTGATCGTAAGTCCATTCTGGAATAGGATGGACACGTCTCTATTGAGCTCTCTCTACCTAAAACAGCACTCAGGAGCATTATTACTTATTGAGACTTTCTGATGCGGCAGGAAGTACACTTTACCTAAATTATGGTATTTAATTCTCCCAACAATCCCCCCCCGGGAGGAGGTTTTAATAGCCCCTGTTAACAAGTGAGACTCTGAGAGGTCACGTTGCTTGCCGAAGGTCACACGCTGGTTAGTGACAGGGCTGGGTTTCAGACCTCTGTCTGGCTGTCCTCAAAACCTGTGGGCTCAAAACTTCTGCTACTCAGCCTCCAGATGGTTCGGCCAGACAAATATAAAATCACCAGCCTCTTTCACTTCCTGACTTGCAGAGACCACAGCACGAAACTCTCACGAGGGGCAAGGTGTGGCAGTCAGCGGAGTGGCAGCTTCCTCTTTGGACGGGATTATTAGGTGGAAACGGTGATGCTGGTACGTTTCTCAGGGAGGCGCCCTTAACTCCAGCTCTGATTTGTTTCCAATCCCCATGTAAGTCTCCTTGATAGTATTTAATCACCGTTTCCTGTAAATCATTTTTGTGCCTTTAATATCTCTGTTTCCTGGATATAGCCTCTGGGCCTGGCACATAGAAGGTACACTTTTAAGAGTAACAGCCCTAGCCAGTTAGCTCAGTGGATAGAGCATTGGTCTGTGGACTGAAGGGTCCCAGGTTCTATTTTGGCCAAGAGCACATGCCCGGGTTGCATAGGGGGTGTGCAGGAGGCAGCTGATCAATGATTCTCTCTCATC